TCTCTCCTCTACATGAGGAGGGGGTGCAATAAAAGATCCCTGACCTCCATTCCAGCTCGAAATCTGGGATTCTACACTGGATAGATCTCAAGTGAACCTAATCATTTAAATGCTGTCCTTCTCATTAGACAAGGACCCTTCCTCTTCTGCTCCTCAGCACTTAGCACAGTGCCTGACACAGTGGGGACAGGGCTAAGGAGGGGCCCCAGGTAAGGAAATTCCCTCTCCCAGTGTAGCTTGGCACCTTCTCTGCCACTTCCATTTTTACAGAGGTACCTCTAGGGCAGCAGTTTCTCACTTTGGGAGGGTCCTGGACCCCTCTGGAATTCTGGGGAAATCTAGAATAATATTTTTAAGTGTAGAAAATATAATGCACAGAATTACAAAGGAAGCAAGTATAACGAAATACAGTTATCAAATATTTGTACTTTTTTTTTTTAAGTTTGCAAGACCCCAGGTAAAGACCCCTTGCTCCAGAGCATTGAGAGGTTAAGTGACTTGCCCGGAGTTACACGGCCAGTGTGTGGCCGAGCCAGGACCTGAACCCGGGTCATCCTGGCTCTGATGATGGCTCCTGTGTCCACTCTACCAAACGTCCTCCCCCTGCCTGACCCATGGCAAGCACAGAAGAAATGCTTGTTGAGTTATTACCCAATCTTCCAAGAGGCTTTTAAGGAGCTTACTCAAAAGTACTATCCATGGAAAGTTCAACAGTCACCTTTGGGGGTTGTTTTCCATCTTGAAAGTGGCCCCTGGCTAGAACGTTCATGATTCTTTCTAAATTGCTCATTTGTAACTCTGGCCCTTTCCTTCCCACAGTAACTCCCCTACTAGCTAAAAGTATATCCTGCCAAGGACCATCCCAAATAAAGCCCTGATCTGACATCTTGAGAAGCTGAACCTAATTTAAACACTGTGGCAGCAGTCTCCTGTAGGAAATCTCCCCCACAATTTATGTTTCTCTGGAAATCCGGCCTTCATGGTAATCAGACAGAGCTTGTTTGTGGCAGAAGAGCATGTCTGCCTACCCCCTCCCACCCACCTTCCACCCCCACCCAGGGACCATATTTCTTCTGTCAGTCAGGAAATCAGTTTCCAGATCCTAGGCTTGGCCTCCAGATACAAATGGCAGATGTACGGGGCAGGGGTGGGGGGGATGCTTAAGCCTCTTCTGACCTCTCAGGAGCCTCAGACTCCTGAATCACTGTTGGGGGCACAGAAGATCTGCCACAAGGAGTCATCAAAGTAACAAGGGTAATGAGCACATGAACCCAATCTCCTACAGGGACAAAAAAATAAGATGGGGTGTTTGGAGAAGAAGGGGAAGAGGAAGAAGGAGGAAGAGGAAAGTGAAGAAGATGGAGAGGAAAAAGAAAAAGGAGAATGAGGGAGAGGAGAAAGAAAAGAAGAAAAGGAAGGAGAGGAAGAAAATAAAGAAGATGAAGAAGAAAGAAGA